AATGAAATAAGATTTTGGTTTATTTTGTATTCCCATTTCGAATGCCAAGTATGGCCTAGTTTTAGGACTTTCTGGAGGGTTGCGACCCACTATGCCTGGAATGCGACAGACTCCGATTCCGACTGCTCCTCGGGCTGAAATGAACTGGGATGGGCTGTGCTGGGTCTCTGGGATCTCGGATCTCTGCCTTGGTGATGCATTCGTCTGCTGCCTCGAAGTGGCAGGAATCCCGATGGCCGGACGGGTAAGAGGGGCATGGAGCATGGTGGGATAGGGGATAACCAACAAAGGTGAGCCTGAGCCCCAGAAAAGCAGAAAAGTGCAAGTGATGCTCATGTAGGAAATCAAGTTCCCCCAAGGAGACAAAAAGAAGGGCTCGAGTTGGTCGGATTGAATGTTTGCGCTTTTGTGTGGACGTTTTTTTTAATGAGCCTCTAATTGACATCTGCATTTATTTCGCCCCGAGTCGGGCAACCATCGATCACGGGTCCACGGGAGCGGCAAGAGAATGGGAAAAAAGAATATTTTAATTGGCATTTTAACTAAAAGTGTTTAGGCTTTAGTTAAAATTGTTTGGCCGCAACGGGCCGAGAGTGTAGAACTGGTTTTCCCACTTCGGCACGTTCAACCCAATTAACGCGACTCTGCCCCTTCTGCTCGCCCAGCTCCTTCGGCTTAACCACGGCGGATCAAGGAGATCTCGGGGGGATCATGGGGGATAATGGCATGCCCCGCTTGCGTATTATGCAAAAATGAATATTGCAAATTGATAAGAACAAGGGGGATGGGGAAGTGCGTCGGGCGGAGGGGGAGAGATGGAGAATCATTCTTTGTCGGCGACTGTCGGCACATAAAGTGAATGTCGCACGCACTGCTTGCCTCATTTACCCAAATCGAAAGCGACATCGCTTGTGGGGCAGGGGCAAGATCGGATCCCCAAGATCCCCACCATCATCATTATCGTTCTCATCATCGGGTTGCCGTCTTCCTCAGCCCACCCTATTCCCTTGCCCTTGCCCCTTCCCCCTTTTCCCAGTAGGACAAAAAAGGGCAAAGCCAGAAAAGAATCAAAAGCAGCGGCGACCTCCTGCCCAGAAAGAGACGGACGAACAGGTAGAGCAGTACGCACTGCGCTTTTTCTGCCGCTTTTCAGCTCCTTTGCCTCTTGCGCTTCCCTTAAAAGCCAATTAAATGTGAGATCGTGTAATTGGCAAATTAATTTCAAACCAATTATAATGAAAACGACCACAAAATACGAAATGCGGAATACGAAACGCACAAAGTGAGAGAGACGGATGTAGGGACACGACAGAGAGGGAGAGAGAGAGAGAGAGAGAGATGGAGACAAGGACCGTGGGGAGCTGCAAGGAGTGGGAGTGAGCACAGAAGATCGGTCGTTATGTCACAGAGGAATGGCATTCTTGGCTTTTATTCTCTACTCTTTTCACCTGATTTTTACCTTGTTTTTACCATATTTTTTTTTTTGGAAGGCAATTATAATGCAAACACTTTGCAAGGGGCCAGAAACACGGAGCGTGTGCACTTCATTTTTCATTTCGGCGCGACGCACTTCCCTCAGAAAAAAAAACCAACAACATAAACGGGTTTCTTGCCCCTTCATTTTTTCCATTCCAGTCGCTCCAATATTAAATAAGAGCAAATGCCGGCTCACGATCCGCAGAAAACAATCCGCTCACGCACCCATCTCTAATTCTCGGACCCGGTCCACATGTTAACTTTTTAATTAACGAGTTTTCTTTTTCGATTTCAATTTGCCAGGCCTCGCTTGCCTGGCCGCAATCTGCCCACAAACCTGGCCCAGAGCGTTCTGTCTCCCTCGGTCGCTGATTACAGTCGAACCTCCCTAAAGTTGACTGATCTCCTTGCTTTGATATAGAATATGAAAACTTGCGTTTTACATTTAGGTTTTCAATAAACATGTACGCTCAATATAGTTTAAAATAAGTTTAAAACTGTTGCAGTAATATGCCCCATTAAACTTTCGTTATATTCGTAATAAGGGATCGGGGTCACCAAGTCATATACATATGTATGTATGTATATTGGAATGCTTTTCTGTCAGAACTCCAAACGTCTTAGTGGGGAACTACTTTATTGGCCAGGCACAAAACACTGAATAGCTCTTGGTGGCTGGATTGGGCGCAACCTTAGCGCACTTTTATTTTAATTTAATTTAGCTGCAACAGTCCAGAGTCGCATGCTACCAATTGCAGACTGGCTTGTTTTTTTTCATCCGTTTTTGCTTTTTGTTACCTTATTTTTACAACAAGTTTGGGCCGCTGCGCGACTTAAGTCTGAAGTTGGACTTCGGATCGAATGCGGCACTTGGACTTGGAGTTCGGCATGTGGTCCGCGGTCGACTGAATGCAATGCCATTTATTAATAAAATATTTGCAAATTGTTGTCATGTTGCCCCGCCCCTCGCCACCCCTCGCCGCACCTCCCACGGCTCCCTGTCCGTTCTAGTTGAGTGCCAGAGTGTCATAAATTAAAGGATTACCACAACACGGGGTCCGCGGGGAAGAACACCACGGAATGGTCAGGGAACACGGCAAGATGGAGATCAGCAGATGTGGAGGGATCTGCTAGGAGGGGCTGGAACCGAAAGGCCCACGGACTAAGCAAGTTGTTAGCATTAAAGCGGCACCACCGCAATGTGTGGCAATTACACTAGTCGACAAGTTGTTCGAAACCAAGTTGGGACTCTCAAGGGTTTACCCTCTATGAGTTGGTATCTTAGTGGGGAAAGCTATTCCTATTTATTATCATCACTTGATACGTGATCCTATTTAGTCTATTTATTATAAAGTGATATGGAATATTGCTTCTGACACAAAAGTTAATATAAGTCTGTCAATAAGTTAATAAGTCTGTTCGTAACCCGAAATATATATGAGTAATACAGTTGCATCTGCAGTTATACTAAGTATATACCACACCTTGGACCACGCCCTAGAAAGTATGCTACATCCCGATTTGCAGCTCTGGATGATTTGCTGAACAGTGTTTTCGAGGGATGTGGAAAGAGGTAAGAGGAGCGTGAGAGGGCGTTGCATGTAGGTGCGTCTCCGTCATCATCATCATCAACATGGCCCGGCTACTGTGCTGCTCCGCCCGCTCCCGCATCCCGCATCCCACTCCCCCTACCCCCACCCCTGGGATCGTGGAGCCTGAAGGTGCGCGTGCGCGCCCTGCCGCAGATAAGATCGCTGAAGAGAGGTAGTAGCAGTGGTACTGGTAGCCAGACAGGCAATAAGCCTTACTAATAGGCTGTTGTTGTTGCTGCTGCTGCTGCTTCTCCAGCTCCAACTCCAGCTCCTGCTGCCACTACCCGGAGATTAAAGATGGGCCAATGACGATGACGATGGCGATGGCGATGAAGATGAAGGGAACTGCTCCGTGTGTCTGCCGCTCTTCTGCCGCTTACATTTGCCACATTTGTATGAATAATTTAATTATTGTTTAAATGTTAATTAATGCAACGTGAACGGCGACTGCACTGCACTTCTCCAGTCTCCATTCCGACAACTTTTTGCACCTCCACTGCCTCGGGAGTTGCAGTTGCAGTCGCAGAGGTGGAGATGTAGATGGATGTGGCAAGAAAAGGGGAATTCGACACCACTCCACTCCACTCCACTCGACTCGACTTGACTAGACTTGACAGACACGCATTTGGCATTAATGGGCTGCCCGACTGACAACAACATCGCGCGGGCAGGAAAGTAAATAATGAAGGGCCAGAGAAAAGTCAGCGAGAAAATCCAGGGCCAGTGGGCGGTGGAGGCATGCAAATGTGTGAAATTCCCAATTAGACGGTGCAACTGGGATCAGGGGAGGCGGATAGGTGGCTATGGTAGCGTCCAAGGCCTTTCAAAGGAGCTATAGCAGAGTATAGCTGCAGTAAGCCAAACGATGGCAAATTGAGTGGGATCTGAGTCGGAATGGAGTATTTCCAAGTGTCACAGTGAAAATCCATCCAAAGGATTGTGTGATCATAACTTGGCATCACAAACTTGATATAGAGTCTGATGATGTCTATTCATACATAGGTCTTCAAACCTTAATTGCCAAATAGCACAGTGAAATACTTTAAACACTTTAAAATAGTGACGAAAGGCAAAATTACAAAATTGACATAAAATTATTTGTATTCCCAAATCAACCGAAAACTTAATTTAGCATTTAAAATAATAGCCCTAAAAACGTGGCAGCCTAACAGAACTTCGACTTATAGAATGAGTTAGGCGTACATGACTAGTTTTTATGGTCAATAAAACGTTTTTGATTTATAGAAAAGGTGAGCTAGGTGATTTTCTGGTCATGAAAGTTTAACTGCTTATTACTATTATTGCAATGTTCTAAAGAATGCTACCCAATAATGCCTATTCTCAGATTCAGTTTAGACATTGTGCAAACTTTGAAACTTACTAAAATGCTAATAAATTCAAAAAAATTAGCTACTTTAGATATAGGTTACGTAACTGTCACTTTGATTTAAAGATCAGTTACAGTTGTGCTCAGTGTGTATTTCTGTTAAATAATATTCTATTTAAATCTGCTTTTTCACAGCTTCTCTTTGAAATGTAATAGTTTATGGATAAAAGTTCTTCCTAATTTTGAAAGTCTTCTTCCCAATCTTTCTAACTGTGACTGTCATCATTTCCTGCGTCTTGTTGGTTTTTCTGATTATTTTGCATTATTTTGAACTTGTCCAGCTTCCTTTTGCGATATGTATTTGTACATAAAAGTATATACATACGTATGTATGTACATATGTATGGCTTTGCTGATCGCTGCAATTAGTTGTTGTTTTTGCTGGGTAATCCGAGACGGAGGCAATTAGCAAGATTCTTCTGTTCGTTTCAGTTCGTTTTGGTTCTTAATTAGAACAAATGGCAAAAATAAACAAGCAGACGTGTTGGACGGAAAACTAACGTAAACTAATTAAAAGGATCGCCGGCGAGAAAGTTTCAACTTACATATGCAGAAATTGAGTTGTTGTTCCTGCTGTTTGTTGTTGTTGCTCTATCGCAGGAAGCACAAGGCTCTTGTTGTTGTTGCTGTTGCTGTTGTAATTGCGTATGCTGTGTATTTATTTATTTAGCTTTTGCTTTTGCGGTCGGCTCGGTCCGGTCGTTATTATTCAATTGTTGTTGCTGCACAGAGGAATGCGTTTTTGCTTATTGTTTATGTTATTCAATTTTAGCGCTAATTGAATGCGAAAACTCGCCACACGCGTGTCAGAGGGAGATGGAGAGAGCGTGGGGGCGGGCGAGAAAGAGCGCGAGAGATCAGGCTACTGGTATTCACGTTTACCGCTATTCGTTATTTGTTATTCGTGATTTGGTGTGGGTGCAAGATCACCGATGGATAGATAAACACCTGTCACACACACACACGTGCGCACACGAGACACGCACACACACACACACGCACACGCACGCACACTCGACTCAATTAGTTAGCTCATAAATTTGCATATTTCGCACTTGTGTTTAGCCGTTGCTGCTGCCGTTGTTGCTGTTGTTGTTGTTGCTGTTGTGGCTGTTGTTTCTCTTGTACCTTTTGTGGCATGTACACAGGAAAAAAAATGAACAGTGTTCCGTGACTTTGTTATGATTTCGCTACTGGCCGCTACTTTTGCGTCTTCCTTCGTCGTCGTCGTCTTCTTTTCCTTCTTCTTCTTCTTCTGTTTATCGCACGCGCGCACAACCGCCAGCGCCGAAGTACAATTTTCGAATGCCGTTAATTTTCGAATGCCGCATGAATGAAGTCGACTGCACGAGCTCTCTCGCGTTCGCAGCTCTCGCTCTCCCACTCTCGCTCATTCTCTCTCTCTCTCTCAAGTCTGGCTTTTCCTTCTATCCCAATGAGACCGGCTTTTTCACTTTTATTTTTTTTCGCCTTGCGGAGGGTTGTTTCCGCTCTCGCTCTCTCACTCTCTCTCACACTCGCAATCGCTGTCGCTCTCCGGCGTTGGGGCTGCTTTTTGGGGCCCTGCGCTGCCATTGGACGCCGCTCCTGGCCGCCGACCGCCTATCACACAGGTGCGGCCGAGGGTTGCTCTGTTAAGGCGCTGTTATTAGCATGCGGCCCACCTGCGTAGGCGCACCTGTGCCCCTTGTAGGTGGAGCTTCGCTGCCGCAAGCCGGATAGTTTCCTTTTTCCTTTGTGACATTCGTCCATTTCGGGCGATGCAACCCTTTTGTGCCGTTACTAATTCCCACACAGAAAAAAATGTACAAGGCTATAGAAAAATAGTTTTTTAGTCCTGAGTTCTGAGTCCTGAGTTCTACGTCATAAGGATTTTATGTTAAAGTGCACATGTATCTATATTCCAAATGAATCAATTGAATGAATGAACTAAATGATACTGGAATGATACTAACTGTATGATAATACCAAAAAACTGATAATGACACTAAAAAATCCATAAATTGATGCCACCAATTGCATAAATACCCCCTAACACACAGAGGAAATCGGAAATAGTGGAGGTGAAAAAAACTAGAATTCGGATATCTGCTCAATTGAACATCGTTTTATTAAACCATCTTCTTGATGTCAAGCTGTTTTTTTTTTGTTTTTTTTTGCCGTGCAGGAAGAATAATAACCGCACAATGAATTAACTGCATAAATGATCCGCCAAACTACCCCATCTCTCCGGGAGGAACAGGAACAGGAGCGTCTCTACTGGTGGCACCACTCACAACTCCATGGGCGGCCGCGGGGGGCGGGGCAGGGGTGCAGTGTTGCCGGGGTGCGGGGTGCAGGCATTATTCATACATAAAAAGCCAATTAAAAATTTATAATAAACCCCGCGCCAAACTGCTGCAACAACCCCAAAAGAAGCAGGCCGAAAATAAAAAGAATTAAATATCGCACGGGCAGGCACATTGGGACAAATCGGAAGGAATGAAGCAGAGTTGGGTGAGTTGACGATCTATTACATCTTTTTCATATCTAATCTGAACGGATAATAAAATGTGATTTCTCCAGTTATTGCCAATTCAAAACTGCCATTTCCTCCCTTTGGAAAACTATTAGTTTTGTAGAAGTCGGGAAATACTTTCTTATTAGCAATGAAATGTAAGCGATGGGTTGCCCACTGTGCGGCCCCACTGTGCCTGGTTTGCAGCATGTGAAAACGATGACCAGTGGGGATGGGGGTCATTTCAATTCAATGAATGGAAATGGTGGAGTGGCACACGCACCTAGCGCCAAATTAGATGTAAAATAATGAACATTTCAATTAAAATAATTAATATTATGCTGCAGCCGCTGTGGGCGGAGTGGGGTGGCAAGGACGCACTAAGCACTCAATTAACCATTTTAATGTTTATGGATCAGGTTAGCCTGAAGGATGCTCCCTTGGTGGGGGAGATGCTCCTGGAGATGCTCTGCTCTGCTGTGCTGTGCTTTTTAATTATAATTAAACATGCGAGCATTTGGATGGATGGGGAGCAGTGGGTGGCGGGTGGTGGGTGGCGAGTGGTGGCGGGTGGTTGAATGGCCAGCTTCCAGCTCGAATAGCTTCTCTCTTTCTGCCCAGGACATAATCACTTAGCCGCGTGCAGAGCCGCATTTAAAATTAATTCTGCTCAAGTGCGTTTCTTGGCAAGAGACACACACACACACACATAAAAAAAAAGCACGTGGCACACGTGAGGGGGGGTAGCGGGTGGTTATTTTGCAGGACGGCCAGGGGGCGGCAGGGAGCTGCCCCCATTTACCGTTGGTTCACATTCGCAAGCGAAACAAATTGCACGCTAATTGCTCATGTTCAATTAAAAGCAACGGCCCAAGCAAACTCCAAACGAAACCCCACCCCAAAAATTCCACTTAAGCTCCGCTCCCGCCAGTGATGTGCACCAGACAAAAGTGGCCAAAAGTGGGCAAAAGTGGTCAAAAGTCGGCAAAAGTGGCTGAAAAGGGCTAATAAATACGGAGCAACGAAGGGAAAGCCTATACACCGCTCATTTTTTAAATCACAAGCCTTCACAATGTATTTTTATCATTAATCATGATAATTATAGACACCTTTTTGTAGATAGTAAATGTTGATTGGGGTCACCAGCCTAGTAACTTGGATACTGCATACTATAAACACTACAATTTTCCAACACAATCAAAAGGGAAGAATTATACCATTTTTTTAAGGATTATAACAAGAATAAGTAATAATAAAGCAATGCGCAAGTGTTCGGGGTCACCAGAAACCAACTTCAGCAAGTGGCCTATCTATCTATCTATCTGAATATCTAGCTATCTAACACTATCTTCTTTAGTATCTTGAGATTGCCCATCAAACAGTTATATAACGATCTGTAGAACTCTGGTATAAACCAAGAACCCGAATGAAAATGGCTAACTGAGTGCCAAGCACCTGGTCACCACAGCTGGCGTTGCTCATCCTCGCTGGCCTCGGAATTTGGAACACACGAATTTCGAGCCCATGGACCCATTGAGCGCTTTCCCACAAGCCGGCGACAGGAGTCGTCGAGCAGGAGGATGATGGCCAGGGGGTGAATGGATGGGTGGTGGAATGGATGCAGTGGACGGATGGTGAATGGGTGGCAGGGCTTTTTGTTTTGGTTTTGATCCTTTGCGCAAATAATTGCCTAATTGTCTCTGGTTCGCTCGCTCGCCATTGTTTGGGCCATGGAGATGGGAAGTGGTAGCGGCAACGCATATTTCTTACGCAAATCCATTTCCATCTATTAATTGGCAGCCCTCGGCAGCTGCTCCTTCTGCCGCAGGACTATCATCGGTCCTTTTTTACACAATTAAGCGCTTGGGCAAATAAAAAGTGAGCCAACCGGGCTGCCACTTCAATCTGAACTGCGGTTCGATTTGCATACATACGGGCACGTACACATGCATATTTCTATCCCTATCTCAATATCTATATCTATATATGTATCTGTATCTATATCCGTATCCATATGCATACGTATGCATGTATATATCCTGTGGCAGGACTCTCGGTTGCGGTTATCGATTGCCCGGAAGTAGGCTTCCCAGGCCGTCTTCGTTTGTCATCGTCATTTGCGGGCTCATTTGCATTGGAAATTACCTTAACAATCCGTTTAAATATGATCGACGCAACATCGACTTATAAACGAGGTCTTGCCATGTTGCTACCAGTTTTTGCCATCTTTTATGTGGCCAATTACCGGATCGAAACCCATCCCTTCGCTGCCTTTGAACACATTTCGCACGCTTCTTGGGTTCGCGGCAAATTGTTATTGCAATTATTATTGCTGGCTTGTTGTCAACATATTGGTAATGCCCCGCCCCTTCGTCCCTCCCCTCCTGCATATGCAAACGAAGTTAACAAGCGGTAAAGGTAATGGACGACGGACAACCAGGCCTGATTGCATGCCATTGTCAGCGACGTCATCGCAGTATCGAATTACGGATTTCTCCACATCTAATTTACGGGCCGTGACAATTGCCTTTTAAAGTCCAGCGAACCCGAATTCGAGCCCGAACCCGAACCCGGGTAGGAAAACCCCGATCGAATCGGGTGTTATCGAACGTGCTGAAATAGGGTTCTGGAAACGCGATGGTGTTGCTTTATCGGGTTCACACTGTGAAAGGTCAATGGTCAACAAATGCCTGATAATGTGAGTAGCAATAGGTAAAATAATATTTGAAAGACTTGTCTTAAGGTGTTTCTAACATGGAAACGGTCTTTTAAATAAGTCAAAACGATGGTACCACAGCGTATCGCTGTGGACGGCAGTCCACGTAGTGACGAAGCACAGCAGCAGAGTGTTCAAGCTAATATACCCAACGGGTAAAACTCATTAACGTCTTCTCATGTATTAAGATAAATAGCTATAGGAATAGTCACCTAACTAAGCAATATTCTGACTGACAGAATTCATCATTCATTCATCCATTAACAGGAAAAAAGAATGAAAATAGCATCCGCGAAACACAGATTTTTTTCAATTTATTGCCATACTTTTTCGCTGTGCAGCCTGTAATCTGCAATCTGACTTAACCCGCGCAATCTTTACCCTAGGCAGACCCAAAGCGGCGACAGTTGGCTGCCCTTGATAAATGAGACGGCGCCGCCTACGCCTCGAGTTCCGACTGTGGAGCACCGGAGTATTCAGGAATCGGACGCCGGACGTCCAGGGGTTGACGCCTTCTCTAGTTTGCGGTGCGCCGCAACGCCGATCAAACGCGATAAACGCTGGGTGGGTTACGTGGCTGCCACTGACAGTGTCAACGGTTGCAAGTCAAAATTAATTAGAATTTTTCAACTGCGAAATACCGTACCACATACCCCTCTCCTCCTTGCCCTGCGACAACCGGGGGATGCACTATATGTACTCCAATCTGCGCCAGGCAACTTTGAGCAAAAGCGGTAAATTGAAATCAGTACAAAACGCTGGAGTAGCAAAAAAATAAAAGAGCGATCATTAATCATCGGGCCGAAAAGGGTTGACAAGCTGCGCATTGCTGTTGCCACAGGGTTGCTGTTGCTGCTACGTTCAGTTCCGGCTTCTTCCGCTCCTTGACCGGAGTCACATCCGCCAAAACAACAACAAAGTCCTCGGGAAAGTGGCCCGGGTGGCCCTAATGCATTTAATGTCTCCCGATGGCTGGGGGGTGAACCAAAACATTTCAGGGACCAGCACACCAGGTAACATCGTCCTCGAACCGCTCTGATTCCATATACTACACCTAATTGACAATAATTATGTTCCTTAAATGAGAAGCAAGTTCATATGTGTAGGCCAACTCAAACAAGTCTGCAAACTATTCTATCTATATGCTGTTTAATGTTCGCATATTTATTATAAAACATGGATTAAGATTTCCAAACAAAGGATTCCCAAAGAGGGACAACCATCATCATATCATATCATATCTTTACTTCAAATATCATAAAATTCCTCAATTGAAACTGAACTATAATATGGCACTTTTCAGATATTAAAACAAACTGATCGGCTTGACATTTGCCTTCTTGATGGATTAATAATAGCTTTAAGTACTATGATATGCATACGTACACCATAAAGTTGACTTAATTATAAAGAACTTGTATTAACTTCAAAGTGGCTTAAAAACTAACATCTCCTTAGAAATTGAAAGAAATAAGAAGTTGAATTACCTTCAGTACAAACTAAACCCTTAATGTTGTGAAAACATATTGCCAATTGACTGGAGTGATCATAAGAACCAAGATTTACATGAAAACTTAAAACATATTATAAGAAATCCATGAAAAAGGATGTACTTATAGGTGTAAGCAGTACTAGCAACTGGTTTCCCTTTAGTTGCTGTGCGGCGAACTTTCGGCAGACGTGGATGTCTGCTCCTGGCTGGTTTCCAGCTGCTCCTGCTCCTCCTCCAGCTCGTCCTCCAGCTCATCCTCTTCCTCGGCCAGCAGCAGTTGCATGGCCTGCACACTGCTCCCGTTCACAAACTCGGCCAGCGCCTGTGCGATCCTCTGATCCCGCATCATCTCGACGATGGCGTTATCCGTGGCAAGTGGATCCCCCATAAGGGAGCTGCGCAGCTGCCTCAATCGCTTGCGATTGCCACGCCTCTTACGCGACTCGCCATCATCCATTCCCTCCACCAAGATCTGTACCGCCCGCTGCACGTTGTTGTTGCTCTGGGCCAGTGCCAGGCGAGCCTCGCCCTCCGGATAGCCCATTTCCACGACCACCTTCAGCAAAAGCTCCGTTTCGCTGGCATCGGCCGCCACGGCCACCGAAGCGGCTGCTTGAGGAGATCCTGCTCCTGCTCCTGCTCCAGCCGTTTCTGGCGGGGATTTCAGATGCAATTGCTGAACTTGCGACATTTTGGCAGCTTCACTTTGGCGTCACTATCGATATCAAATCAAAATCAGCTGATCCTCTCTTCCACCCCGCTCATTTGGTTTCGAACCCCGAAAGCTGATCGAACTGTTTGGTGTGGCCTCATTTCAGGTAAATCCTTAAGTACGGTCCTACTGCTGAGTACAGTGCAGAACAAAACACAGATTTCATTCAAAAGCCAATTGCCTATAAAACTAATGTTTGTGCTCCAGATGATCTTTCAAAGTTCACTGAAGTACCGGCTTAATAACCAGCAAATTATGGATATTTGAGTTTATTGAGTTGTTTTGTGAGATCCACTCGATTTTTTAATTAACATAACTCAGTTGTTTGACACACATTTTAATATTCCTCACGATTATGAATTAGAAATTGTGTTTTTCTATTTTCTTAAAAATAATATGATCAAATTTCCGCTATTTTTCCGCCCCCGTTTAAGTATTCAAACAAATTCGGCCGATCCTCAGTATGTTCTACTACAAATACGATCTATCGACATCGAAAGCGCACGTTCGATAATTCTTAGAAGTACAACCCTGCTAGTTCCTTTTCGGCAAGGCAATCGGTGGCAGATTTTCTTTTACAAAATAGAAGAAAACGTATCATTCAACATGTCGATGTTTGGTTCCATGGCTACGGAACGATGTATGCGACAAATTCAAGAGTTGCATATGAAGCTGCACAAGGGCGATACATATTCAGGTTGATATTTGTTACCAATGCTATGTGTCACATTCCATTTACAATGTATTAAACACGAAGATTATTGAGAAACATCCGGATGTATTTCATAGTTAGCAAGTTGTTGGCTTGGATCCTCAGCTGATGGTGACCAACATATCGATGGGAATGGGCTGTGGATATCCCTGCGGTACAAATTCCGGGCAAAGGCAATAAGCCAAAAACACAATTACAAGAGCATAAACAGAAGATTTCGGACCGGGTCCCACATCTGCCGCCTCCTGCCAACTTTGACTTCTATTTATGCGTTGCACAATTTTAAATAATCACCCCATTGGGAAATTTCGGGCGAAATACCCTTTCATGGCGCCCCCTTTTCCGGGTGTTCTGGTACTTGTGTGTGTTATTTACCCTGATTTATTGCCATTTTCTTTCGGTCGCTGTTGCGCCTTTTTGGTCACTCTTTGTTTGAAGGGGGCCAAAAAGGCAGGGCGCGGGAGGTGTGGGGGGAGGGGTCACGAACAAGTGGCCCGTAAAAAACATTGCCAAACCCTCATCTATCACAATTTCTTGGCCGCTCTTAACTCTTACATTTTTGGGTTTAAAAACGCATTATTTGGTTCTTTTGGTAATTGAAGTTTTTAGTTTTCATTAGCCGCTCTCCGGACGGTTGCCACAAAAATAAGAAAACAATGGAAAAACTGGGGTAGTGGCGACATGGGACGACACTTTTCCAGAGTCGAGATAAATTGCACCTTTAAATTAACCCATTAACGAGTTGGGTCCACACCGATATGGATACAAAGTCCATATTAAGAGCCACGCGGAAGAGGGGTTTTCAACATGAAACTGTGAGTATTATAATGAATTTCTATTTTAAATTATCATAATACATTTTAGCAGGTAATTCTCCGAACGGGAATACTGCAGTTGATAATTACTTGACCATGAATAATGGATTTTGAAACGTAAAGCTACCCTAGACTCTCTAATCAGAAACCCTGTTACTATAACGAACTTTTCGAGTATTAGGGGTTAGAAAGGAAATCAGATTTTTAAGTTCCTCAAGCATTTCCAATCCCTCGAAGGCACAATGCACTGTAAGTCGATACATTTGTGCCGCTGTCTTCATCCGTTTTTAAACCGGAAATAAAAAGTTTCATCCGCAGTGAAAGGCGCTTGAAATATGTGTGAAACGTGTGTGCCAAGTACCCAGCACCAGGCACCAGGCACCCAGTACTTGGAACTCAGTTGAGTGCCCAAGGAACCCGATACTTATCGGGTGTCGACGTTGCCATCGAATTGGGATTGTTCGGTTCGATCCTACAACAAATGGCGAAATCACTTAACACACCGTTAACACCCACATTAGTTGTACTCCGGCGCACGTGAAGATGGGCAGGGGCAACTGCCTGGCTGCGTTCCACTTACAGCCGGAGTTTCAATTACTTTTCGCCGAGCCACCACCGAAATTATTTCATACATACTCGTATATGCCAAGGAACTCGGCGTCTCATAATCGAATTAAATGCATTGCCGCCAGTTGGATGGGGTTGGCATAACCCGGCTCGAGTCGAAAAAGTCATTAAAAACGCAGGCCAAGCGATTGCACGCAAATTTGCTGGTCGCGCTCGGTGTCTTTGTTCCTGGCTCGAATCCCAACCCCCCAACTGGTTCAGCACAGCCGCGGCCAGCTGACTAGCAGCCCATCATCAAATTGGATTTTTTATACCAGATCAAGTTGGGGCCTAAATGATTTTTAATGCTGTCTCCATTTATTTTAACATAATTGGACTATATCTTAAGGATCAGCACTTGAGGATCTCCAAGATAAAGGCCTAGCTTGATTTGATATTTTCCAAAATTAAAATATGCCGTTTTACCAAAATAACGATATAAACATCCGGAGTGCAAGACAATTCAATGAGACAAGACAAGACAAAAATTACGTTTTTAATATTGTATTAAGACTGAAATCCTATATAAATGTTGTACATCAAGTTGAGGAAGTACTTTTACTTCGGCTCTAGTTGTGTGCCCCCCATCGTACCCAACACCCATTTGCAGGCACACACACATGAGCTGGCCGAACTATGAATGGAATTGGCAATGAAATCGCACGTGGCGATTCTCTGGTCACCCGCGATAAGCAACTACCGTCGCGTGGCTCCGTTGCCCGGATTCTAACCCCAACCCACCCCGGATCGCTCCGGAGCAGAGATACTATCGATGAATGGACGGATGAATGAGGTGAGTGAGTGCGCGTCGTGTATTTATGACTCTGAATCCGATTCCGATGCCGAGCCAGATTCATTTCAATCGGGCGATAATCGTTATTAATATTATTAGTGTTTGTTCGCAGGACACTTTGCCATTCGTGGGGTATATATGACAAACGAGACACCCTGCAGTGCCAATCCCTTGGATAGTGAGTATAGAATTCTTTACACTCCTTCCACTACAGCTTGCATTCATTTTTTTTCCAAGGTGCAGGACTATGAGCTGGAAAATTATAGTTCAGTCAGCTGGATTGTATCTGCGTGGAAACTGTGGGAGAATTCCCCAAGGATCTCAACACAAGAGAGATAAAAGCCTAAACTCGGATTTGGACTGAATTTATTGGTCCAGTCTGGCAATGCATTAGTACATTAATATTTGACCCCAAAACTGAACAAGGCAAGTTCGGTTAAGTATGAACTGCGATTTTCACACTCCCACACGCATTGGAAATTACGCACCAACCATAAATATTCATACGAGTTGACTTTGTGATCGGCTGGACTGGAAAATGGCAGTCGAGCTTAGCAAATCACAAATTTATGGCCCAATCCATCAATGCCAATGCCACGGGCGACTTTAAAAGGGACCTCCCGTCGCACCACCGAACCAAATTAAACCACACCACACCGAACCAACCCAAACCAAACCACCGCACCACTCTAATCGCTTCCCACGATCGCCGCGGCGCAGCTAGCATTTCCATATGTAAAGTTGCGCCTTCATTAATCCGTAAATTAGAAGCATTGAATGATATCAGTCGCCCTCTGAAGTGCACCCTCTTCCCAGTTCCACTCGGAATCCCAATGCCAATGCCAATCCCAATCCCAGTCCCAGTCCCAGTCCCAGTCCCCTAAAACAAATCACTGCACACGGGGTTCAGGGCGAGCTACCAAGGGCAGACCTCGAAATCCTAGCCCAACACAGTCCACTGCAATCCCACCACCGCTCCGAACAGTGGGGCAAAATGTATTTACTATAGATATTACAGACATAATTTTAAAAAAGATATAAGTCAAGGATATCTGATAATATAGATAGATATCATGGATAAACAAATAAATACATACAGGTATACATATATTTATACATTTCAAGCACTAAGCTTATCTAATATAAAAATGTAATTTAATTTAAAAATAGATTAAAAATCATAGATATCTGATAATATAGATAGATATCATAGATACCCAAAAAAATACATTTAAGTATATTTATAAATTATAAGTACTAAGCATTAAGGTAAACATAAATCTGCAAATATGAGCAGATAAACTAAAGCTAATTAAAATTAAACAAAAAATTGAAATATCTGCTTATGCTTCTTAATAGTAATACATTTTGATTGAATAAAATGAAAGTGCTGAGTCTTGGGTTTCTGAGAGGCCAAGGTCGTTTGGCGATTTTCCCCCCATACTGAGCTATTCCAGCCCACTGTGCGACCCCTGGCAACGTTCAACTTCATCGCAGTGACATGTCAACGGCAGCAGCAGAGACACAACAACGACAACAACAATGACAACAACAGCAGCAGCAGCGAGAGTAACAACAAATTGTTGGACAATCGTTGAAATGAAATGAATTTTCATATTAAAACAGCATTAGCTGGCTGAGATCTCTGTGGCGGCGCCTGTCAGAATCAGTCCGCTGCTACGTTGCGTTGGGTCATTTGAATGAGGAGCGGCCATTCCACCCCACTTCCGCCCTCCTCGGAATAGCCCCCTGAAACACCCCCTCCTGAAAGCCCCCCTCAACCACCCCTGGCACCATGCCATCAAATTGGACGCACTGAAGCATGAGAAATGCGGGGACAGCCTCAATCAGGACTCAGTTCGAGTGTAAAAACGAGGCGATGAGCAGCCGCGAACCGCTTGACATTTCTCTGCTGTGCATAATTAAATTAAGAGATGCCAAATGCGGTACACAGGGCGAAAATGTGGATACTCATGGGAGGAGAAAATGCCAAGACGGCATATGGTTCTTAGTATTTTTGCACTGTGAGAAGTTATGATACAGTGAATATGGAAAATGGTGGAATTTTCATGTTTTCATTTTCTAAACTCCATAACTCAACTTATCACCCTATAATATAAATAAATATTTTTTTACCAACTGAAGTTACTGATTACTGAAACCATCTTGGGTTATTGATTATTGATTATCGATTTTCAGTTTTTCAGTACTCTAAAAATATTTACCAATACTTACTCTGCTCTCAGTGTTAAAAATGGAACATGCTGCTCAGAAATTCCTGTCTAAATGTTTCGGTTTCATTGGTAACTTCATTGGAACCATTTAAAACTTCGCAAACAGAACAGAAACGGAAAGTATCAAAATTTAAAAAAAAAACACTGACAATAAACACAAGATGAACAAATACTTTAACACTGAGATCCTACACTCGCTGGTGTCCCAGGTGCACGTTGATAATCAGGACGTGGTCCATGATCGTTTTGCAGCCATGGAACCGGCGGCTCGCTACGTGCTATACATCTCCTCCGATCCTTGTAAGGAACTTCATCCGCGGAACGTGAAGAAGAATCTGCGGAATCTGTTTGGAAAGGAGGCGACGTCGCATGGATGCGTCGTGAGAATCCGCGAGGAAAAGCTTTCGGTCTCGAAGCTGGATTCCCCCAAGGTGGCGGAGCCGAAGAGCTTGGATAATGTAAACGAGAAGTCCGCAGATGCGATCTGCACGAGGCGGGAATCGATGGAAGGAGGCTTCGAAGTGGACACAAAAGCCACACCCTCAGCAAGCGTCATCAATCTCGATGAACGCGCCAGGGGCGGCCTCAACATCACCTTATTTGAGATTGAGTCCCAGTCTAACTGGACAGAGAATAGGCTGGAGAAGTATACGGAGGGGCAGGTGGAACCGAAGGAGCCAAGCTTCATGACCAGCCAAATGTCGATCCAGGAGACGAGTTCCCAGTCGAGCCAGGAGGATGATTTGGACAACTTTCAGCTGACGGAGGAGGCTCTGTTCGATTACTTAAAGCACCAGTGGAATCAATACCACCGACTTGGGGGGGCGCGCTCCTACCTAGACTGGTTGAGGAATTCCGACTGCGATATAATAAAATGGCTTTGCCGGAAATACTTTATCGGCACCTGCATGACTACTACTTCCATTGAGCCGGTGAGGAACCCAACCCATCCAAGTCACTTGGAGAAATTCAGAAATGGCCTGTGCCACTGCCTGCGTGTCGTTGGCCAGTTCTTTTCCGGGGAGGAGGAGCCAGCAGACCACCCGATCCGCCCCTATGTGGACCGCGAACACTATGCACCCCTAGTTTTGGGACCCACCATCGATGAGTCCATGGCATTCCTAGCAGACCGCGTCATGATCGCAATCAATTGGGCAAAGCATAGAGATGTGCGACCATCTGCGATTGCAGAGGAGCCGGAGTAGATGCTATCCTTGCAACAGGGACACACCGATGGCTGTGTGGTAGTGCAGTTTCCGCCGGACACCTCCGAGCTGAAGACGGAAACGGAGCCGTAGCTGAGAAATAACCCAAACATTTGCTGTACCGCAATGTGGCTTCAATTCCTTGTGCCCAACATTTTAAGTAAAATGAGTTTTATACCGCTTCTTTTGTTCTAATCGTCGACTGACTAACCTTGAATCCCACTGGTTCCATGGCGGGTTCCATAACAAGGGCGGCGGGATTAAGCTCGATGTTGATGTTGTTGGGCTCCATGATGAGCCCCAGGCTCTGCAGATTGCACACCTCCGGCAGCTGTAGGGTGGGCGTGGGCACCTTGAGCACCGCCACGGTGCAGTCGATGCTCGACGCCGTCACCGTCGCAGTTGCGGGCAGCGTCTCCGGCATGCTGGCCACCGCTTCAGACGGCACCGCCCTCTGCTCCTCGGCACTGCTCCTCCGCCTCCCGATCCCTATGCTGACACCGATCTTGACTGCGCTGGTACTCCGCGTCGCAAATCTGGAAAATAGTTCACATTCATTAGTTGTTAGTTTTCTGGTTTCTAGACCGCATTCCATTTGCATTTGGAATACTAATGGGATCGAAACTTATTACGCACACGCCCAAAAGTATAAAAATAGGCATGTGTTGGATATTTATGTGGGGTTGGCATCCGATTTTGGAGCATACTTTCAGGCAACAAATCATGTCAAACAACCTGGACAAATTCTTGAAAATAATGGATTAGATGCCGAAGCCCTAGAAAAACAAGTTGTTCCGGCTTAAATGCGAGTCGCTTTTGCGTTTATTTGTTTCTTTTTAGTGTTCATTTTGGTATAAGTTGTCCGCACTTATTCCTATGGTTACACTGTAAACCTAAGCATAGTAGCACGCGGCGCCTCCGGCCAGGACACCAAAAATACAAAACGTACAAATAGGAAAAAAAAATCATATACTTCGATGCTGGATGGTTGGTTTATAAATTAGGAGCGGGAGCTAATCAGTGCCGTGGAAAGAGCCTAGGCTGATTGCTGCCGTCGCCGAATTTCGGCGGCCAGATCTTCCAGCTTTACGTTGGTCTCCTCGCGCGTGGTCACCTCACGCAGCTTGACCAATCCCTGCGCCAACTCTGCGTCGCCGAGGACCACCACCAGAGGAATCTGGTGCTCCTCGCAGTGCTGCAGCTGCACCAGCAGCTTAGGGTTCAGCTTGTAAGAGTGCTCCGCCTGCAAGGATTTTAGGATTATTATGCAATTTCATGTATTGAACTCAAACCCACCTTTACGCCCGCGTCCCACAGCAGGTTCAGAACCTTCAGTCGCTGCTCGTGGAGACCCTTGTGGGCGGAAGCCACGTAAACCTCCACGTCGCTGGTGCGCAGCTTCAGGCCGCTTGCAGCCGCACGCGCCTCCAAAACCGAGAAGATGCGCTCCACGCCAATGGATACGCCCACGCAGGGCACAGCTTTGCCCCGAGGATCGAACATGCCCACCAGGTTGTCGTAGCGACCGCCTCCAGCCACGGATCCCACGGTGGCCGGCTCGTTTGCCTGCTCTCCGTTCTGCTGTGATGTCTTTGCCGGGGATGCCACGCTAGCGGACTCGCCCTTGAGCACACCTTCGTAGATAACACCGGTGTAGTAGTCCAGGCCACGGGCCAGACTCAAATCGAAGCTAACGCGCTTATCCAGACCGAATATGGAGCAGTACTTGAGGAGCTGCTTCATACCTTCCAGTCCCTTCACCGCATTCGGTACAGCCTTGAGCTTCTCGTCGCCCAGCAGCTGCTCCACCAGCTCGGCACCGCCGCTTAGTCGCACGTACTCCCCAATTCGATCCGCTGCGGCCTCGTCCAGACCCTTCTCCTCCACCATCTCCTTGCGCACATCCGCCCAAGGGGACTAGAAGAGCAGACACATTACAATATTGACTACAATTTTAGTTGCCAGCGATGGTGCTCACCTTGTCCAACTTGTCCACCGCAGAGCAGATGGTGCGGAAGCTGTCCGTCGGCACTCCGCACGCCTGGAACATGCCGTCCAAGAGCTGGCGGTGATTTAGCTTTATCACATAGTCTCCAATGTCCAGGCTGTCCAGGATCTCGGACACAATCTTGACGCACTCGGCGTCCGGCAGCATGGGATCATAGGTTCCGGCGATGTCGAAATCGCACTGGTAGAACTCCCGATAGCGACCCTTGGTCATCGCCGGATTGTCGCGACGGTAGACCTTGGCGATGTGGTAGCGCTTGATGCTCGAGATCTTGTTCATCGCCAGGTAACGAGCCAGCGGCACGGTCAAGTCATACCTCATCGAGAGGATCTCGCCGCCCTGGTCCTTCAAGTCGTAGATCAGCTTTGAGTCCTCGCCGTACTTGCCCGTCAGCACTTCCTGTTGGGATTGATAATAGGAAAATGAGTCGAGGAACTGGATGGTTGCCAATATATGGATAAGCTATTTATTTTATCACATGCTCAATTTGTTTAAATCAAGGCAAAATACCTAACTACTGGTGAAATCTTCAAATTACGTTACTTCTGGCTTTGTAATATTTGTTTCCAAGTGAGTAGGTCAGATTTAGAAACAAAGCTCTGTATACTAAGTACTAGCATGTTCAAGGCTCTAGCGGCTTTATCACTTAACTTGAGCGCAGCTCAGTGCTATCATAATTCTATATATACACACATAAATCATTCAAGACCCTATGAATATAAATAATTTATTTTTAATGACAGCATGAAGCAAGGTCGTTGTTTTGCTTCTCAGAATATAATATTCAAATACCGAAATGACCTACCAGATTTTTGGTTATACCTCATTTTAGGCATGGATTCTCATTTCTTTGGTATTCACTCAATCAAAAACTGCCTACATAATCCTCCAACAATTCTCTATTGCTGCATGATATCATACCTAGCTGACCCACTCCAATGATACCCAAGTGAACTCACCTTCAGCTCGAAGACGGGCGTATCGATAGCTTCGCCGCCGTGGCGCTTGAACACTTGGACGATCTTGTCCAGGACGCCCTGGCGCAGGGTCATCTGCTGGGGACCATAGTCCCGGGTGCCCTTGGGCGTCTTCAGGGTGAACTTCTGATTGGTGGGGGCGGCATCTCCGCCCAGTGTGGCCTTTAAGGCCAGCAGGCGGGCGACCTCCTCATCGATCTGCAATGGAGATGCGGGGAAACACTTTACAGGGCGGACAAGGAGGTGAGGATTGCTTAGATGCTAACCTGCTGCAGTTGCTCATGTTGTTGTTGTTGTTCTTGTGCTTGTTGTTGTTTTTGTGGCTGTTGTTGTTGTCGTTGGGCTGGAACGCCGGACGAGCTGACGCGCCCGCCGCCAGAGGGCGCCGTCTGGAACGTTGCACACTGAAACGCAGCACTACAGCGCCACTGGCGGCCAATTGAACGCAACATGTGTTTGTTTTTTCGGTACTAATTTTTTTTGTTTTTCTATTTCTCTTGCAACAACTTTCTTTTGCAACTTTTCAAACCTAATTAAACAACAACAACAATAAGTTTTGCTTATTTTACAACTAGTTTAGTGTATGGTTAAAAGAAATGAAGTGTGTCGGTGTTTTGTGTGTGTGCAGCTGAAGCAATAAATAATAATAATAATAATAATACATTATTGCGTTCCATTGACCGTCAGCGCTGAATTCTTTTTTGTATTGTTTCTCCCGATTTTGGAAACAAGTTTTTGCAATTCAAAAAACACTTTTTTATGGCACTTGAAACGCAAAAAACAGGAAAGTGACGCGATATAATGGAAGCTGGAAGCTTAACAGTTCAAGGACATTCACACCGCACACACACACACAAGATCCAGCTTCAAGATTACAGTTAGTCAGCTGATCCTGCATAATTGCACACGCACACAATAGTAACTTATTTGTTATAATATTACATCAAAATGAACTGTTAGGCAATTTGTTTGTACTATTTTGTGTTAGAAATTAAATCCAAAACACAAAATTATCTTCAAAGATAAAATAATGCAGGAATTCCCGTTAGAAACGGAAAAAACAGATGGCTCTTTTGAAAAAGATTTATATTTAAGAGATCTATATTTAAGGCCCTTGCAGGGCCACAGACTTAACCAATAGGAATAAGTGCAGTTGGAGTTGGTGGTGGTGGTGGTAAGCATTGTTGCAAAGCCCAAATCACATGTTGCAGTCGTCAACTCGGGATCGGTTGATTGTGGTCTAGCAGGTTTTCGATATAATCGCTATAACCACCATGTGCCTTTTGTACATGCCTCCTGTTTGACCAGTCGCTCTCTTCTTAGTCAGTCAGTCGGTCATAGACCACTCATACTGGTGATGGGAATGCAGCTATTTGGTAGTTTCGATTGGCTATTTTATTTTAATTATTACGTGCATCAAAACACCAACTAAATGTTATCTACCTTTTTTCTTTTTGAGTACTGAGCATAATAGTTTTTACTCCAATTTGAAAGACTTAGAAAACGTGCCAATTGGATTATTTTGTGCAAGTACAGTACTTGTTCTAATTGGACAGCTCCAATTAGTATGTAAATTGACTTGCAGGTCTTATTTACATGAAAGTTACACAATTATTGGGTGTTCCAAGAAGCCTCTGTTGAAACTGTATTCAACCCGGTTTCATGGAAACGCAGCCAAATATTGTGCTGTTGTTAGCATTTAATGTAAGCATAAGTAGACTTACATCAGCAAACGATTCCTACAAACTAATGCTTCAATTAGTCACAGCTTCGGGCAGCACTGTTAATTTTAGCTACTTTCCAGCCAAAAAGTCGAAGCGATAGTTTGGCATCACTGTGCAGGAGCACACACACACACAAGCAGAAGCCGAGCATTTGCTGTTGGCCAGAGCGAGACAACAATAACAACAGAGTGGCACAAATGTGCGAATGCGAATGTAAATGTGAAAGCTGCGCGCTCCTTTAATTTGCCGTTTTTCCTTTGCTCTGCTCTTCCGTTGTTGCATTCATCTAATTATTACACTGCAAAACGAAGAGTTTGAACCACTTCAAATGCCAGCGCAGCATTTATTTGCAACTGCACGACGATCTGATGAAATATGTACATATGCGAGTGGGATTTCGGAATTGATGACGAAAGCAGACCGGGAATTACAGCAACAATTGCACTTATTCCATTGTACACACACAAAAGGGGGATGACACTGGAAAGCGGCGCGTGCTGGAGGCGGGTGGTGAGTGGAAGTGCGGGGCGTGGGGCGGGGTGGAGAGGCAGGCGGCTAACAACTGGAAGTGCGACCAAAAACTGACCTTCTCCTTTGACTCCTTCGCTGCTTTCAACTGACGGACGAGATCGCCTTGCACTTTGATTTGCTCCAGAATCTGCTCACGCGTATCACTCATATTCCGAACTCGGTGGCCAAAAATGAACAATGGCAAACGGTTGACAGTCCACTGCAAAAGGCGGGCGCGCGGCGTTTCAATCGTTTCAAATCGACACGACGATTTATGCTGTCTTTTCCAGCTTTCAGCTGCTTTTTCTGCGCTGCTGGCCAAAAAAAATTCACACGCGGTGTGACCGTTAGTGCGACCGTTCGCCGCGTTGTGCGAAAATGTGCGCCAGCGCGGACTCAAACCGTGGTTAGGAACTGGGCTGGCGTATTTGTAAGGTGCACACATTATTTTCTATTAACGATTTACAGAAAACGGCTGTCCACTGTTAGTAATATTGGCTGTATTCAATTGTATTACCCAATATTTATAAAGCCTTATAAAGATACACGCAGCTCATATTTATTTAGATTTGTTTATGTAGTATTTTATCACATTATTACACACAAAGGTTAAAAAACAGTTTCTTAACTTTTTTCCATTACAAAACTGTGAGATTCTAACCATTCTTTACCAATACGTTACCTATCCTAAAATGCTCAATTCGAATATTGGATTTTAAAAGTATATTTTTTATTTTTAATATAAAAAAAAAGAATTTTCTTGAAAATGCAGAATTGATACCTAATGTTGACTTATTTTAAACTAAAAACACAATATTAATTCCAACGCGAAATCGAATGGGGATTGAAAAGCTTCGCACTACTTTCGAAATCCCTTGCCCAGCAGCCCAGGAGTTTAGTTTCATTGAGATACTTCAGCTCAGCCCTTAGACTCGGAACTCCGTCGACACCGACTGACTTCGAGCTGAACTTAAAGCAAGCAATAAGATACACACTCGCTCACACACGCACGCACAACCACACACACGAACGGGATGAACAAGTCGCAGAAGCCCAGCAAGGTGAAGCGGGGCAAGCGGGGCGGGGGCGGGGGCGTTGGCTCCAGAACCCAGCCGCAGGACTTCGTGGAGGCGCAGGTGGAGAACGCGCGCAAGGCGGTGGAGCGCAAGCTGATCTACCTGTCCGAGTCGAACCGAGGCAGTGCAGCCAGCCGGACGGGCAAGCGGAGCACGGCGGGCGCAGGCGGAGCCGGAGGAGGAGGAGCAGCGGGCGCCGGCATAGCCGCCCATGCCCAAGGTCCGCGTCGCAGGCGCAGCAGGAGGAGTCCGGCAGAGGCTTCAGTCCAGGAAGGAGGAACCGACGAGGAGGAGAGATCGCCGCTGGAGAAGACGTACAAGCACGAGAACAGGAAGCGCAGCAGTTACAGTTGTAAGTCATACATACAATATCATCGATTTGGGTACCACTTCTACATGATCTTGGTGCCTATTTAAGCTAGACACACCGAATTTGGTATACAGTACGTTATTGGTAAACGAAACTCATGTGCATCGTAAAACAGAACATACAAGTGTTATCCATTTAAAAACTCGCCACTTATCGCTTGTTGAGCTTAATCAGGCTCCACCGCTTTCCAACAGTGTTGCTGTCTCCACGTCGCAACGGTCTTACGCCCCGGAACTACGAGGCCGAGGAGGCGGAAATGGCTGCCACACTGGCCGCCCAGCGGACGTCCAGCGGCACGACGAAGCCGGGCCAAGCCGGCGGCGATGCCGGGGAGTATCGGACGGGAACCTTTGGCCGCCTGCAGCTGAAGCCGCTGAGCAGCTATGCCACGGACCAGCAGCTGCCCAGCTACTCGTGCGGCGTTTGCGGGGCCAAGTTTCACATCCGTTCGCTGCTGGGCGCCCACCGGCACATCCACGACGATGACTTCAAGGTGCGCTTCCGCGGACGGCGACCGCGGGAGAGCAGCACCGCCCTGACCGCCGTACATCTGTGCAAGCACTGCGATCGCTCCTTCGACCTGGAGCGCACGCTGCACATCCACCAGCTGAGCCACTGCAAGAAGATACCGCCGCAGCTGCGGCGCAAGTTGGCCTTCACGGAGCTGGCGCACGAGAAGAAGGCGCCGCTGCCCAACTTCCAGCGGGCACAGCACTCGGTTCACCAACAGGGAAACAGCGCCGCCACCAAGCAGCCACAGATGACGCAGCAGGAGAAGCTCCAAAAGATCATCATGCGCGAGTCGGCGGTCCACGAGCGCTGGCGCTAGTCGGTTCTCATCGCCAATCGCCAGTCGCCAATCCCCGATGCCCATCCCCACCAGAAACTGGCAGCAGAACCAACGCTTGCTTCCGAAGATCAGGAAAACCATGTAGAAACGAAGGGAAAATTGTTAAGTGTAGGGCATGTAACTGAGCGGCATAACTGGAATAGGAGACTCACCTGTTCCGAAGACCGCAACACACTGGCGTTGAATAGTCACACTCCATTTATGAAGGTCAATTAAAGCTAAATTTAGAGGCCTGGAATGGGTGCAAGTGTAAGCAAGTGTATTAGAAATGATTAAATTGGCGAACTGAACAATTGCTGTCTTCAATGAGATGTTATTTCCATATACTATGTATAATGTGCTTGGCTTCCTATTATGCGGCTTAGCGGAAAGGTAACAGAATTCCGAGCACAGAGTGATCCTACATCTACTTGTATTGTGTAATTTAAAGTCTGTGCCCATTTCCATTAGGGCGCTTAAGGTATAACAAACAAAAAAAGGTATATAAGGTATGCAAAGAAATACTGCCAAAAAAATTGCCAAGGAAAAGCACGATATCATCGATAGAACGATATTTTTGATACTTAGCTCGTGTCATCAATTCGATAGCCGTGTATCGGTACGATAGCAGTGTATCGCTACGATAGCCGATCCCCTCGTTTCTCAAAGACACTGGACGGCACGCACGCCCGTTGTGCCATCGGCGCTACCTTGCCTTGCCGTCCCGCTCGAGCTTTGGCGGCCAAGCTCAAAGCGGCAGCTTTCCGGCGCGGTGCGCTATCTCTTTCGCCCTCTCGGCGGTGGTGGGTCGTGTGCAGGGAATACAGTTAGCATCGCAAGATAGGCGATGAGCGGCGATTCGGGCGGATCGAAGCCATCAGTCGATCGCAACAGGTGCTGGTGGTCGCAGGCGCGAGCTGTGGAATCGAACGGAATCTTGGTGGATTGTCGGGAGTCGCCTGGGAGGCATAGATCACATCTGTCCGCTGTTATTCGTATTGTATATATATTTTTTTCCGTGCTTTTCGCGACTCTTCGCATTTCTGTGTTTCTGTGCCTCTGCGTTTCGTAGCCAAAAATCACAAATATCGCAAATATAACCTTCAATTCGCCATAGCAAACGCGTGCAATGAGGTAAGAATGGACAAAAGCAACGGGATATGCAATCCGTGTACAGTGGGCACTCAGTAACTCGAACCAACAGAATTAGGAAGGCAAAGCAAATGTACCAAAGAGTTTCCATATCAAACCGTAACAGTGTTCGAGTTATGAGAGTTCTCCCGCCCCTTATACCATTAATTAATAGCCCCATATCGATTTCTAAAGACCTTGACAGTGAAATCACAATTAACTAGCCAACTGTGACCATCCAAATGTCACCGGTGCAAATATGTAGCGAAGCCAAAACACTGTTTTCGAATTAGACACAACTCATTAATTTGCGACTGAAAAAACATTCAAATCGAGAAATTGTTACACGTTGTGCTTTTATTTAACAACTTTCAGTTTTACGTGTTTTTGCCCATACAAAATAGGCATAGAACCGCTTATTATTATTTTTGCACTTGTGTAAACACAAAACGTAGAACAGGTACAACAAATCATTTAGTGACTTAAGGTATTAGATATTTGACGTAAGGCAAGTTGAAGTTGCTGATTCAGATCTGTATCTCTGTGCGCCGTAATTAAGTTGCCCCATTATTTTTGCCACCAGTCGAGTCGAGAGTCCCAGATCCCAGATCGTGTCGGATAAGATATATCAGTAAATATGCCCATTTGCAGTGTAATTGAGTGCTCCCTGCACGACATCGTTGGGTAATTGTTTAATATGGGGTCCCATCTGATAATCTAGCCTATAAGACATCACATTTACGGATATGTAATTAGCTCTAGATCCCATAATCTCAGGACCCGAAATGCGTCATACCCATGGCAACGCGTTCGTTTGCAAAAGAGTTTATCAAAACTTGTCGAATGTCGGCAATTAGCTTTACGACGGCCCATAAGATATAGTACTTGGCTCAGATATGGCCAGTTATAATGGGTTTATAATTAAGTTTATGGCGCTGGCAGATCAAAAAGACGGAAATTCTTTGGGTCCCGTTCATTCAGCGTTTGCTTTATGCGCTTTATGGATATGCGGCGATAAGATTGGGATATCACATGCCCATGAATTTTTGTGAGCCTGCGACCCCCGCGAAGGCACTGCCAATGAAATCATCAAACTGCGACTATTATGGCTATGATTTGCCAGCTGATTTCATTGGACGCTAACAGCGAACGCTAGAGAAACTGGTTTCCAGCCGAGGGGATTCCCCCTGCCACCCAGATTATTTGCATAATTCATGAGAAAACCCAGCGCAATCAACGCTGGCAATGACCGTGTATACCCCACCAGCTATACGTATGCCCACTTCATCCGGAACAAGCCTATCGAGCCGTACACCCCATCTGCACCTGCCCATTGGTCAAGGATGACTTTCGTTACTCCCGGCAACGTCACAGACTTATCTTCGGCACTATGCGATTTCGATGATGGGACACTTTTGGGTGGCAGGTAGGCCACTGATAAATGAAAATGAAAATGTGAGTGTTGATTGAAAGCGTTTGCTTGTCGCAGCGGAAATCATCTGTAATTAAACGATGTCAGCATTCCGCAGATCACTTGATATCTCCGCGGAGCAGGAGGCTTTCATCTCCGAAAGCGGCAAAAAAAAAAATTACACATCTACTGTGGTGTAGTATGCGTAATTTGCCATATAACAGAAAAGCACTTGAGTTCCGCAAACAATTTGATCACTTTTTATCAGTTGTTTAAAGATCGCTTCAGAATCGAGTGCACTAGTAAGTATTTTGAGGATGTTTCGGAATTTTTATTTCTCTATCGGTTCATAAACTTTTACGGTACACGGTTTCGTGACTTTGAAATTCCGAAAAAGCCTACCTTGATAAAGACGGATAAAGGGGCTATAATCCCGAACCGCTAATGGCACCTGTTGACGGCTCCCGATCAATTGGAGGCACCACATTGCCACCGATGGCTGTAAACCCATTAAAGATGGGTGTGCCTGAATGAACCGAATCTTATCGTCGAACAATAACCATATAATATGCAGATCCAGTGGGTTTACCATGCAGGATGACGCGGCAGAAAGTGGATTCGCAAGCGATGGCCCTTGAGGATCTTAATCTGCAGACGGGCCGCGATTATCGATCGTATGGATCGAAAAATACAAAATTTGGGACCGCTAATTTCGGCATGACGGGGCACCAAATCGAAGTACTTGCGACTTTCCTCCCAAAGAAATCTACGTTAATTATAGAAAATTGCCTGTTAATAGCGCTTGAGTTTTACGATCTCTGTTTTGGCATTTTTATTGCCTGTTATCAAAGACATGGGCACTCCATTGGCGATAAGTCACCCTCTTCCCGGCCAGAACGTAGAAGGCATGTCCGGACTCATCCGGACTGACTACGTATGTACAGACAGACCTACGAATATCCCTTTGTCATGGGCCACTCCACAGAGTGGGCCAATCATCCACTGGCCATAGAGAGGCCTTTATAGTGGGGAGCTACTGAATCCGCGGATAGCTGTTTTCATTCACCTGGCTTCCAGATAGATCGATCGCAATGATTCGGCTAATTTGATTTAACTGGGCCCCAGTGCCCAGAGATTACACTCCTGGCTATCAAGTTGGCCGACATAAGGGTCTGGAGACCGTTCCATTCTTACGCTTTGTTTACTTCGGGATCGTGACAATTATAAATCTTACATTATCTCTGCTTGCTTTTTTTATACTAATATACTTCTAACAAGTCCATTACTTGCACTTAATATACGAGTGTATTATGCAATGAACTCTTATAAGCCAGTTAAGCTAAACTGGCTAGTTTTAGAATTCGTGATAGATTGCATTAAGTTCCTTTCATCGAGTCCTTAGTTTTCATGTCCATTTTATGAACAAGCTTTACATAGTTGGGCAAACGAAGAGTAGGGTATCCCCCTGGTCGAGTCGGTCGGCCATTGAGTGACTCGGCGGATTGGCTGATTTCCGATAGCGGCGTCCAAATCAAAGCTAATCGACACCGCCGCTCCACCGCTCCACTCGACCAGGTCCTCGAGCTCTTCAGTTTTGAGGGCCTGGGGCTGATGGCGATGGCGATGGCGATCGCTACGGATCTGTCGATTGAGTGATACTGATGAGATTCCCCACTTTCAGGATTGTGTGGAGTAAGAAGCTCTTTCTATGGCTGCTGCTGGCCGCCCTCCTGGTGACGGCACTGACCCTGGGCCTGGTCTTCGGTCTGAAGAACCGGGATGCGCTGTACATCAGCGGCGCCGTGGTGTCCAACGGCATCGGTTGTGCGGCGGTCGGCGGAGATGCGCTATCCGATGGCGGTTCCGCGGTGGATGCAGCCATTGCCACGCTGCTGTGCGAGGGCCTGCTGTTGCCCCACTCCATGGGCATTGGGGGTGGCTTCGTGGCCACCATATACACGCGCAGTAGCAGGAAGGTGGAGACGGTGATTGCCAGGGAATCGGCACCGGCGGCTGCGCACAAGGACATGTTCGTGGGCGCGACGGAGATAACGGGTGCCAAAGCGGGTGCGGTGCCCGGCGAGATTCTTGGCTACTGGGAGATGCATCGGCGCTATGGCATTCTGCCATGGAAACGCCTCTTCGAGCCGTCCATTAAGCTGGCCCGCGAGGGCCATGTTGTGTCGCGCTATCTGGCCTCCGCCATCCAGTCGAAGCTGGAGAACATCAAGGCGGATCCCGGGCTCTCCGCCGTGTTCCTCAACGCCAGCGGTGAACCGTACGTGGAGGGTGACTATATGAAGCGTCCTGCCCTGGCAGATACGCTGCAGCGGATCGCCGAGAATGGAGCCAAGGAGATCTACGATGGCGGCGAGACGGGTCGCAAATTCGTCGAGGACATCCAGAAGCTGGGCGGCATCATCACGGAGCAGGACCTGCGCGACTACACGGTGCGCTGGGAGAGCGATGGACACGTCTCGGCCCATGTGAGTGGCACCTACACGCTCTACTCCACGCCCATGCCCAGCAGCGGACCCGTTCTGGCCTTCATCCTCAACCTGATGGCCGATCTCTATACGGACAACGAGCAGGTCTACTGGCAGCGCACGGTGGAGGCCTTCAAGCACGCCTATGGCCAG